TAGCCAGTGAAACTCACTGCCTCAAGGAATCACTGATGTCAAGAGCTCAGCAAGATTCAAGAAAAGTTTAGACAGTTACACGGAGAATGAGAACATGCAGAGAAACAATAGATAGTATCTTTAAAAAAATCCAAAGTTTGGAAGAATATAAACACTCACGCTTTAGGGCACATAAGCCAGTCTCTAACAGAGGGATGTTGGGAAGAAACCTGCCCATGGGAAAAATTATTACATAATTGTCCAGCTTTTGGGTTTTATTGCACCTACCTCAGAAGCATCCAATATTATGGGACAGGGTACTGGACTACATGAAACCCTGGTCTGATCTGTTACGGCAATTCCTGTTTGTGTGCAGGAGTTTTGGTTAATGGGGTAAAACCTTCGGTTTAATGCACAATGCAGATTGCTCATCCATCTTTACTAAGGTGGCTGTTTTCCACCTTGTTAAATGAGCAGTGTAGCACAGCATTACAAGCAGCGCAGAATAAGTTTTGCAAAATATACTGCTGACTAGAGACAAAGCTCTGGTTGAGAACCACTGGAAAAAAAAACAGGATTGAAGCAACGATCATGAGATCACAAAACATTATCAGATTTTGCTAGTGCTAGATTGCAGTCCTTCAGAAAGGGAAGTAAATTGCATGCTTTATGGCAGGGGCTGGACTCACAATGCAAATCTTATTCAATGACCTTGACAGAATTTAGATGCAAAAGTGATCAAAAGAAAAACAAACCGCAGCTTCTTGTAAGCCATTGAGGGGCTTTAGCACATCACCAAGGGCTGGCTAGGTAACCCTTCAAACCATTCCTCCCCTTGCTCAGATTACACAAGCAGTTTGTTGGTCAAGATCACCAGAATTTAATTAACTAGAACTTTTGAGTCAGTGGCTCTTTGATCTAACATTAAGCTAAGCAAACTAGGAGAAAATTCAGACGCTACAAAATCATCATCAGCTTGGCTTTAATAAACCTTTTATTTGGTAGCATCATAAATAAACATTGACTCATTATCCTCTCTGTTCATCTCTAGTGGCTGAACCACAGAGGTTTGAGTCTGCTACATCCTTTGGCTAACAAAGCCAGGTCTTTTAGTCCAGGCAGGAGAGGATCATGCTTTTAGATCCACTGCTCCAGAGTTCGATCCCTGCTGCTGACAGCGCACCTAGAGATATCACATTACAACAGCAAGACCTGGCAGTTTAATACAATCAAAAAACTACATCCTAATGTGTTTGTAACTACCATCAGAGCCCGTAGCTTCTCCAGAAGCCTGTTCTCCAAATCACTCATCATTTGGAGAAACAGCCTTATTCTCGTCTTCATCCAAATCTTGCAGCTGTTGACGAGAAAACTCCTCAAATACCAGGTCTTCATCCTGGGCACTGAAATGAAGGAAAGACAGGCCTTTCAAAACGGCATACCCCCTTTATACTGAGCTCAGTTTTCCACTGGGAGCCCTTCATCTTCACTTCTCTCTTCCCTTTACGTGCAGTGCCCTCTCACTTCACCAGTGGTGTCTTAAGTCCTGAACCAAAGGCCCCTGAAATCAATGGGTGTCTTTCCATTGACTTCAATGGGCTTTGGATCACATGCCTACAACCCAGCCCTGTTGAGCCAGCTGGGACAGCAGGTGTTTTCTACACCAGTCAGGATAGTAGCCATGGAAGTTTACTAAATGCTGTAACATGTCCTTCCCTGCTGAATAGCATCATCTCCAGCTGGACAGCTTGGAAACGGGAAGGGCCTTTACAGACCACTAGAATTAGCCTGTGGAACTGGTCTCATCTTGCTCATTCTACATTACAGTTCTGGACAAGACTAGGGGAATTTCAGATGCGTTAATTCACCAGGAGCTAGAATGACCAGCGGGACAATATTAAAAAGAAGCTTCATACCTCTCCATCACTGTAATTACCAGCATGCATAAAAAAGGAAAGAGGAGACACAGCAAAGGGTTAGAATAGAGTTTACTCTCAAGCTAATCAGGAATCTCACAAAATAAGAAGAGACAAAAAGATAACTCGTTTAGGAACTGGTGTTTTTTTCTGGAGCTTGAGGAGCAACCCAGAAAAACCTTATGTCATGACTCTATCTGAGTGCATAAAATAATGGTGCCCGGATGAAGCAAAATTAAATCACTTTAGGGCCTGTTTACATGTGGAAACTGACTGGCTTAGCTACAGCAGAGTAACTATACCATAGCTATCGCTATATCAGCATAACTCCCCATGTGGACGCTCAGGGCTTGTCTCCACTTACTGGGGGAATCAATGCACGGTGAGCGATCCACCGGGGATTGAAGACCCGCTAAATCGACCACTGCTCGCTCTCCGGTCGACTCCGGAACAAGAAGCATAAGGTAAGTCGATGGGAGAGTCTCTCTCGTTGACCCAGCGTGGGGTAGACACCGCAAAAAGTCAACCTAAGCTATTCACGTAGCTGGAGTTATGTAACTAAGATCGACTGTGCCCCATAGTGTAGACCTGCCCTCAGTCTGGAATAAGAGAGTTTATTCCAGTATAATTATGGAACTAAAGCTCTTAGTGGAAACATATTCCATCAGCAGAGCTCAGACATCAAAGGGGCTAAGGAGCTAAAAAAAATTTCCCACACTGGCTTGCTAGGAACAACTGCTGCGAAAGGCGTCTGTGGGCTCACATATTAGCACCAAACAGAGGTGATACTGTTTTGTGACATGGTGTTCCTCTTAATTGGTCTGTCACTCTTATTTAAGTAGCCAGCCTGAACTGGAAGACGTCATTAATAAGCAATAAGTCAATTAAATCAAACGCTGTACAGAAGACGAAGAGGTAGGGACCACATTTCAGCTCTTTTCTTTGGCAGCTTTTATTTTAGAGTGCAGAGCTCAGAATTTTACACTTGCTTAAATCTTACACTTAACCCTTTGGCACTAGCTGAATGCATTCACATGATGGGATTTTAGCCTATGCTTTCCCAGTGAGGAGCATTCATTGCTGCTCGCTTCCCTTTGGCTAACTTGGTGCCTTCAGCGGTCTCTCCATAAAGCAGTGATTAAGCAGAGTGTACGGTGTTGTGGTGGTGGAGGGTTTTTTTTGTTTGTTTGTTGGGGGGGGGAGAAGAGGGTGTCTGGTTTTCTGGTCACTTTAGCTCACCCAGTGACAGCTGCATCACCCACCCATCCCCCCGAGCCTAACTGCAGCCAGCTAGTCCAGACTGTCCCAGAAGTGGTCAGTGTCTGATTCTGGGTGTCTTAATAACTTGGTGCCAACTCAGGACACTGAGCTCTTGACTCCCAGTGGTGTTAAGCACCCACAACTCCAGCTGAAGTCAATGAACGGATGATTCTCAGCACTTCTGAAAACCAGGCCTTTAAAGTGCATCAGACCCAGCACCCATAAACAGAACCGCCTAAAATTAGTGGATCCTTTTTTAAAGCATGGGTCTGTATTTGTATTTCATACTCAGAGGATCATTTACTGTACTCATTGACTCCATTAAGAAATCTGGGATGTATGAATCTCACCCAATGGTCCATGCTCAATTGAAATGAGTTGGAAATTAAATATTTAGAGCAATACTTTTAGAACTGCCATCACACACCGTTTTGCTTTTGAATCAATGGTGTTAAATTTTTTTCTTTAAATACAGTCTTTTGCTTTTTCTCCCATTTGAAGTCTGATAGTTACTAAGGAAACGATGACATCACTGATGTGGGCGAAGCTTAGTGGTATCCACAAGTGCAGTACGCAGTCAATTTTATATCATGGGCAGGGGTTTTAGTCAGATTTAGAGACTGTCAGGAGATGAGTTACATAGGTAGGTACTGTGCTATATGCAGCACCATAACACCCATGACACACTGCTAGGTAAGATTATGCTCCGAAAGACGCAATTATACTAATTTTAGCTTAAAGCAGCCTTTCCTTCCTACAGGCTCATTAGCTAAAGGCCAACACACACTAGCAGTGCTGGGGCCAGATTCTTGCCCCAATGCAATGTCATTCTTTGCCTCTTAGTTTACGTACAATTATCATGTAGCTAAAGTTCTCAAGAGCCTGAACAAGGCTATGCAATTTCTTGCAACAATCCAACGTCTAAATAAATACAACTCGGCCTTTCAGATTTGAGGCGGGTGGGGGGGTTGTCTCACAGGACAAAAATAGTATTTCATCACATGGTGCTATAAGCTTGCATTGTGCAATCAGAGCAATAAATCTATAGAATTAAAGTTGGAACAGATGGTAATTTCTATTATAAGCCTGATTTTTATCCTCTCCTAGCTCTTGGGGGGAGGTGGCAGAGCATGTTTATCGATTTTTTTTTCAATTTTAGTAATTTTTGAAAGTTACTATGTAGCTAAGTATATTACAGGTATGAAATAAGGTTTAAAGAGATGCAGCCAATGTGTACACACTGTATGAGAAATCCAAGGCACAGAGACTATACAGAAATCTGAGAAAGGAAAGGTAGTAATCCGTTCCTGTCCGTCCCCCAGGCATAGAAATAAAAAAGGAGAGAATAGTTAGCAATAGCCCTACACTTCCGATATAAGCTTTTAACTTTCAAAACAGCACGGTATCATTTATAAACACATTTAAGGGACAAAATCTGCTGATGCAACTCAACACAGCTCCATTTATTTCAATGGAGCTGTGCCAGCATAGACCAGTAGAAAATGTGGTGAGAGAAAGAGACCAAATCCTCGACTGCTTCCTCTGCTTCACACTTTGTTTGAGATTCCCTAGGCTCAATTCATCCCTGCACAAATAAACATGCTGATACTGGATACATTCTATTTACTCTGACCCTGTATAATCCTGGGTGAGTTTTTTGGGTGGTGATGGGGCAGGGGGAGAAACAGAGGTGGAATTAGCTCAGCTTAGCTCAGCCCACTGAGGGCATCTTAATATGGTTTTCTCCCCTGGCATTTTAATCCTACTATATTTTTGGCTTTATAATATGATCTCCTTCCTGTTTCTCAATAGCATTCCCCCCCCCCCAAAAAAAAAAACCTGAGACAACAAAGTAAGTAGGGAGGCATAACAGACAATTGGTAACTTTTAGCTCATCAGCAATAATGAAGGGAACAGAAAAGATGAGGATGACAACTGATCTCAAAGTCCCCACACATAAATGCATTTATCTATCCCTCTTAGAGGTTGCACAATCAGCTAAAAGAATTAGTCTATCTCCTGGTGCTTCTAGATTCCCTAAACACTGTTTGCTGCAGCTCAGTCTCTGCAATTAACTTTTGATCCACTTAATGAAATAACATCTAATTTGGAACTAACGAAGCACAACTTTTTTCTCAGAGTTCACTGAAAAACTGGTGGAATCACTATCAAAAGCATGAAATCACTAACAGGAACAGTGACTAGAGATAATACAGGAAGCCAGAAACTGCAGGATCTGGACAGATTTTCAGTTTACCATCTTAATTTGGTAGGTTTTATTCTCTATTCTGGGACCCTAAAACACACTCATGTTGTATTTCTAAATCTGCTATGCAGGTTTCAAAGGGACTTTATTTTGTTCATTGTGTTTTCCTTTTTGAAGTGAAGGCATTTCTTTCCCCAATTAACTGCTTTTAGGGTTCCCCACACAATTACTGGCGAGTCTGTCCTGTTATTAAGTTATAGAAAATCTACTATTTTCATCTGTATGATAACCTAAAAATGAACTGTTAGAGAGGACTGTGATTTAGCAAATGATATATGGGCTGCTTCTTTGGTAAGAGGATGTGGTGGAGGAGTGTTTTAGAGGGATGTTTTGCAATCCTGAATTTCCAATGTATCTTTTTTAAGGCCAAGAAAAAACAGATCTATACTCTGGCTGAGACTGGATTGAAGTAAGAGGAAGACCCCATGGCTCTGGCATTAGCGTTTTCCCATAGAGGCACCAGGCCTACTTCCATTGTTAGGTTGCTGAATGTTTGAACATGAGGGCACGTGTGCACACATGCCTATGTAATGAACTGTAGCTCCAAACAAACACCACAGCTGTCTTCATCAATCAAACCTGTAATCTTCAATTCCCATTCTATTTGAATTACAGGAGTAACAATTAGGTATCAAGAAAGAAGTATCTTTGCTGGGATCAGGCCCAAAGCTCATGCACAGTAGGATGAAGTATTACACTCTCCCAGTCAGATAAACTAATCCCAAGTATCTGAGTCCACAGGAGTTCAAGTCCATCTAGAGTGCTATTTTGCAACAAATCAGATTGTATACATACAGATGTGCTCACCGTTTGTTACACTTAGGGCTCATCTTCACTGCAACACGTAACCTGAATCAGTACAGTCAAGTTAGCCTAGCTCAAGTAAGAGTGGCCACACTGCAAAAGGACAGGCAAGCTACACAAAGCAATTGGATTAGTATCTGAGGAGTTGTGCAAACAGTAGCTGGAGCCTGTAGCTGGTCACTACATTATTAGCTTGAACATCAGCAACACTCAAACTTCAGCTCACACCCAGACAGGCCAGCTAGCTTGAGTTTAAAGCACCCTTTAACTCGAGCTACACATGTATTTGTGGACAGGAAGCGGGTTAGGGGTAACACAAGTTATATCTTGACCCAACACTGCAGTGAAGACAAACCCTTAGTTGTGGTAACGTTTTTGGGGAATAATTTAAAGAAACATAGTGAACTTAAAAAAAACAAACAAAAAACAATTATGTCTGAAAATATATCCACTGAAGTCACTAGAACTGAAAAGTTAGTAAGTGTTCCCACCCCCAAACCCCGTTTATTTATATTGTGCATTTGATAGCAATTTGGGTGAAGTTTGCAAAAGTACCTAGATGATTTAGCAGCTTTGTTTTGCTTTCAAAAATGACTCAGGGTCTCCTAAGACAATGGGACTCAGGCATTTTCAAAAATTGTGCTCTACATGACTCTGGAGCTGAAAAATCCTATGAATTTTCAATGAGACTTTGGCTCCTTAATCACTTAGACACTTGAAAACTGTTACCCTTGAAGATCTCCAGTCATTTCTACTGTTTCCTCTGCACAGTTAATCAGTTTCTCCCTTGCTGGAAAGACCCTTATAAACATCAAGAGGGGAGAAGGAAAAAATAGTTCTGATTTCTGTAAAACAATCTTTAGTTTAAAAACCCCTATGATATTCTATTTAAATGGTGATCAGCAATGGAAATTTTCCAAAATTAGCAAGTTTATTACAAATACAATGTTGGTACAATGTCCCTTATAATGTCTTCTCCCCCTCCCCTCCATGTGTGCGTGAAGGTGCCCTATTTTTATATTTTATACACATACACTCTTTCAATGCATGTGCCAACTTCTTGCAAATGTGGAAGTGGTCTTAATTTGAAGCACTCTGCATCTATTCAGATGTGATATCTGCCTACCCTCCATTTCTCCTGATACTCTACATTCTTCTGCCAAAATTATCTTCCTGAAGTGTAGGGAAGTAGAAGAGGGCTTTGCTGACAGCAAGCGTTAAAAAAAAAAACAAAAAAACTACACATCATGCCACACACAAAAA